CCGCGAGGAGCTCCCCTCTGCAGCCCCGGTACCAGCGAGAAGAGCTTCCACGCAGGGCTGTCTTCCCTCCCCCATGACTGTTTCAGCTGAAGCCGCATCAGAAGATGCCAGCTGTATTAAGCGTCTCAAGACCCACATGTTTAACAGCCACGCAGCCAGAGAAGGCAACGTTTCAGACAATACCTCTCTTTCAATGAAGTGCGCTTTGACATAGAGTAAAAGGTAACTAGCAAGGTGCCAGGAAACCTCCAGATCGGGTCTGACTTCTGCAAGCACCCTTGTGCAGTTCACAGTCTCAGTAATGGTCAATTCCTTGTCCACTACCTGATGTTAAAATCCAGTAACAGCTGCCACAAACACACCCTGGAGAACACATCGCTCCTGTAGAACAAAGGCCATGTTTCATGCAGCCCTACTGCCTCCTGTACAGAAGGTGCTAAAGCTGCCTGCTTTGACTGCTCTGACTAGAAGCATATCCTGAGTAGACCAAATCATGATATTTTTACTGAAAGCGGTTCAAGCTTTTTCCAAATGGCACTGGATCATGTGCAAGCAGCTGATATGCCACCTTCTGCCAACCAGGACTGCTGCTACAGCTTTCAACACTGCTGGTGCTGGTACCTGATGAAACTTACAGATAAACCCTGGGCAATTTCACATTCTGCAGTATAATCGCCAGTGCTGCACTGCTTTCCCACAAATGATGTCTGTTCAAACAGCTGTAAAACGTACCATGAGTCTACTTGCCCCTGGAGCCTGTCCACAAATGGATTACATCTTGCTGATAGTTCTTTTGGTGGAAGGGTAGAATCTTGGGTCAGTCAATTTGGAAGTCCTGAAGTTCCAATCCCCTGTGTCTGGAAAACAAACACCACAATAATTCTGATTACCTGTTGTCTGCTTCCATCTGAGAGGAATGGACAGTGATTGCAGAAGGCAGTGTAGCATTAAAAAATCCTTCTGCATTCACTTTCAGAGCATGAATAAATTTGAGGTGGTCAGAACTGGGCTTACAAATCTTGCCCATTGAGTAAACCAGGTCTTACTCTTTGTGATTAAGTACTGGGCATGGGCAGGTCTGGGAGCACACAGGGACACAGAAAGCCACCAGGATTTTTACCAGCATCAAGTAGAAGGGTCTCCAGCTGGACGGAAGCTGCTCCTAGAGAGCAGCCTGCGAAGGAGAGTGAGTCAAAGTGGATGAGGGAAGCAGGAGCACCAGTTGCTTCCCAGGACTAATGTGGAGACTCTGAGCATCCCTGGAACACACACTCACACAGGCAAGGGGCACAGGCTTTGGGCATGGTCTCTCCAGAATCTGCAGAGGGCAGCAAGGTGGTCCTTCTCTAATGCAAGTCAGCTGGATTAGAGCTGCAATTTCCTGCAGAGTCTCTCCCCTTTACTTTTTGCTAATTGGCAGCCTCCAAACACAAGTAAGAATTATGTGATCTGTGGAAACCAAACTGCCTGTTAGCCTGAGAGAAAGCTTATCCCTCCCTCTTCAGATCAAGGTTTTAGCAGGCTGACCAGGCAATGTGTGTTGGGAAACTTGCCCAGCTAATAAAAAAAAAGAACTTCATTCCTCAAAGCTGCCAGACCACTGCCTTTCACCAGTGCTGGGAACAATTGGACTACTTGCCACAGTAAGGATTATTCACGTGAGTGTTTTGCAGGACTGGTTTTAGTGTTGCAGCTACTTCAAATTATCAGAGAGCGTAGTGGGTTTTCTCTCCTTTTATCTGTTAAAGGCTGCTGATTTTTTGTTCACCTACCTTTGTTACACAGTTTTCATTTAGTGCATCTTTTTCCCTACTTTCTAAATCTAAACAATTTTTCAATTAGATGAGAAGGGAGAAGGAAACACTGAAGGCTACAATAAGACAACACAGTAGAGCTTTGGATTTCAAAGTAAATTGTGAGGGAGGGGAAATCACAGGAGTAAACCCAAATGCTTAGAACATCTGAATTAATGGAGAAGAAAAATTAGTTTTATGTTGTTTCACAACATCTCTCTCATAAATCACCAGCAATTAGAACCAGCTAAAGCAGGACAAATTTGTAGCATGTTTGTAGAGGCCACAGTCTAGGAGCATCTACACAAGCAGAAAGACAAAGCTGCTTTGCTCTAGCAAAAGGAGAGGGTGTCCACAAAGTGACCACGAGCAAAGGAAATAGGGTGACAGTTCACTTAAGATTTATATAATGGATGAAAACCATCACAACTTTTGTCCCAAACTCCCTCTCCATGAACCTGTTCTGCCAAGACATTTCCTGGGCATAGAAAAGGTCTTCCTCGTTCTTCAGTCTGTTTCTAGCTTCCAATCCCTACCAAGATGGTTCATTAATTTTGATCACTAAGCTTGTTTCAACAAGTGAGATGGCATTAGCAGCAAAGACAGGTATGCTGAGAAACTTGAGGATAAATGTTCAGTTAGATAAAAGAGAGCTTTAGAAATTGCTGCAGATATTACCTGCAACAGATCCTACCAGAAGTGTCAGCAAAAAGGGACAAGTATCACCAAACATCTCCTACTGACTTAGCTGATTTCATGTAGCTACAATGATTAATAATTTTAAAAATTCTGATTTAAAAAGTCACATAAATCTTACATGATTCTGGAGTAGGGGAGGTATAAAGATCATCTGGACATTTTTTCAGTGGCAGAGGAAGTAGCAGAAGAGCCGTAGTACACACAGCCACCAGACATAGAATGCAGCTCTTGGGCAGGACAGACATGAGGTAAGAGAGCACACAAATATGTACAACAAAACCACAGCTCACACAAGAACAGCACCACACCATTCTGCCAGCGTTCACTGCCTGTTAATGTGCTTTGAACCTGAGTTGTTAAGGGTCTTCTATACACATAACTAACCCAGCTGTTCAAATACCTCCCTCCAAAAAGAATGCCAAAGTATATTCCTGACCCAGGAGTTACATGAAACCATAGAATATCTCAAGTTGGAAGGGACCCATAAGGATCACCAAGTCCAATTCCCTGCTCCTCACAGGACAGGACTAAAACTTAAGACTAAGAGCATTGTGTAGACTCTTAAACAACAGTCCACATTCTGACATCTGGGCTACTCCTGGCCACACCACATACATGCCCAAGGAGACTGTCGAGCCTTCCTAGGAAGCTTTGTTAGCTCCAGTCTAGCAGTTGTACAGAACATATTGATGCAGAGATGAACAACCACGAGGGCAAACCTTGAATAACATGGTAGTAACAGCTGTTCCTCCTCTACAACAAGTTCTTAAGAGTAAGGCACTTTTACTTCCATTAAACACATCCCTGTGGTTTAGATGTATTTGCAAGAAAAAAGAAATAAAAAAAATTCATGGATTGAAGACATTCAGAAGAGCAAGTATCAGAGCCTAGCAAGACACAGGACACCAACCAGGTCTTCAGTGCAGTTCTGATGTCATCGTGCTTATATACCAATATTCAAAGAAGTGTTTCAAATATATACACCTATTCTTTGTAATTGCATTCTGTGGCGTATCTTTTCATGGTTTACAAAACTTCAGTTAATTAGATTTTACAGTAGGACAAGAAACTGCTTCCACTGGAAACACATACAACAACCTCCTCAAAATTATGCAACCCATTAGGCTTCAGCAAAAACAGACAGACTGGTAAACTACAGGCATGGAAACTGAATATTTGGCAGTAATTAAATTAAACACTACCTGAACAGCATTCTCTCATACCCTAGATGAAAACAAAATAAAAAATAATAGGAAAGAAATAAGAGAACTGTGCTGGAGGCACTTAGACTGGATGCAGATTCAGTGGACCCTTTCCCACAACCTTTATCTCTAAGCAAAGTGGAAAGCTCATCAAACAGTTCAGCTGGAATTTGCACTCACAGACATAATTTTGTTTGTTTTAAAGACTGAGGAGCATTTGTTAACCAGCTAGCACGGCACAGATTCAGTGGAATCTCCTTCTTCCTGCTGTAAACTCATCCTGTAAACTATGAGCTGCTTTTCATTGTTTGTTAAGCCACTATTTCCACTTTCCTCTCCTGCCATTTGGATTCATTCCTTACTGGATTTTCTGTTTCTGACAGAAAGTGGAAAAGCACACAACATACAAAGTAAAGAATCCTTTGGGCTTATCTGTACAGCACACTGTCCATGATCAGCATCTCCTGATATAAAGAATAGCACAGGTCAGTTTTTAAAAATTCAAGACTTTCTATGAGTGAATTAAGGTAAAAGGCCCAGAATATCCACCTCTCTCAGCAAGCTGGTTTTGTTGCTGTTTTCTAGCAGATAGTTTAAAAAATAATTTAAAAATTTCCTTCAGCCAGATGAAGACTTTCCTTGCTTTCCATACGCTTGCAGACAACTTCTTCCTCCCACAAAGGCAAGCTAATTGAATTAGAAGAACAACTCAGCCTGCCCATAATCTCTGGAGAGTTGAAGGGAAACAGGGAAGAGAAGACTCTGATCCAGAGATATATTTTTGTTCTCAAGAAAACTGAAGATTTTTTAGTGAAGATCAGTAAATGAGATGCCATTTCTGAAACCTTGGATCAGTTCAGTCCAAAGTGGGTGTGGTTGATTTCTAATTAGCTCTTGCTTCAGTACTACCTTCTTCACTGTTTTACTCAAGAGCTGTTTCCTCAAATATCACAGTTATTATTGGATTCATCCATAATATCAGACTGATAACACACACTTGTGCAAAAAGACATGCCTCTCTAAAAGGAATTATAGGTTAAAAGCAGGTTAAAGAAAGGAGAAAAAAATACCTTGTCCTTGATAAAAAAACCCACAACATTCATATTGTCTAGATGATAATTTTTTACATGCCTTCATACATCTCTGTCATTCACCCAATGAATTTCCACCAGTAACCTCACCATTTCCACCAGCACACCTTCTAAAAGGTGGGGAAGTTCCTGTACAAACTATCTGCTCCTTCCCACTCCATCCCAACCCAGCCATCTCACAAATGTTCTAGACAGGTGGTGGAAAGCTCTCCCAGATTTCCCATTGCAACAGCACAGAACTGCACCTGTAGCCATTCTGATTTGCTTTCTTTTTCTCCAGGTCACAGAACTTGATCTTCTAGCTTAGAAATAGAAAAATTACCTTCATTGTACGTGTAACAAAAAAAACACACAACCCATCAGTATAATCAAGCAGCCCAAATACACAGCAGACACATTACAGCTTAGATGAGCATTAAAACTGAATTATGCCAGAAATGCAGAAGAGAAAGTAGTAATTTTATTTTAAATGGTCATGTTTTACATAATTTGAAACCTCATTTGATTTATTTAAACACTGTATCTAGTAAAATATTTTTATTTAAAGGAAAATGGAAAGCTATCTACTGCATGCAAAGGTCAATTTGTATTAAAGAAAACATATATTCTGCTGCTTGCTTTAACTCTTTGGGACCTTCAAGCTCCACAAAAGAAAAGCTTGTCTTTTATAGTAGTAAGTCCAAAATTTTATATATTTTATGTAGACTAGCAAGATTAATATGAAGCTTCAAGTATTATTCTGAAAAAAGAATCCTTGGAAGAAGAATTTCATAGTGAATGTATTCCAGCGTGTTAATGGAACAAAGACACAGTAAGACAGAAGAGATCTGTTTTTCTGCATTTGCAGATGAGAGGGAGGAGGGCAGAACTATTTAGCTTTCACAACTGACAGTTCTAATACTGTAAAAACAAATTTGGGAGTTCTATATGTTCTATTTGTTTTATATGTTTCTATTCCATTTGTTCATATTCTATAAAGGACTGAAACCCAAAATAAGCATTGCAATATTTTCAGCTTTTTATTCCATCTGATGAAAACCAGTACCTTATGACCAAACAAAATATTTAATTAGATCTGAAATTAAAAGATGTGTTCTGTGCCTTGATTTTTTTAACTTGCTCATAAAAATTATGTCGAGATACGTTTCAAAGTAAAATAATATTTTCTATAAAAATAAACAAAACAACAAAACCCAAAACAAATTTCTGAAACACATTTAAAAAGGAACATCAAGATCTTGTATGTTTTCCAATTTCTTCTTCTTCAATTGAATAAATCAATTAGAAATCGGAGTTCATTAAATTGATCCAACCATGGATTTTTGTAGCTAAAAAAGTCACTCCATTTGGGATACAGCTCTGGAGAGCTCCCTGGTTGCCTTTGTAGATGAAACATGGGGATTCTTACATATTATCAAGTACACAAATCCACACAGGTTGATCAGGAATAGCCACAAGAGAGACTTTAAGTGTCTCAAACTAGGAGCCTCAGCCATCCTCAAATCAAATTTCAGCTTAAGCAAGCCTAGCAATGAAAAAATCCCAGCTCTCTAAATCTCTCCAGGCCTATGAATGCAGCCCTGAGACTGCTAATGCATCTCTCCTCTTTTCCTTTTTGAAAGATTTATCATTTTTATTTAAGAGAAAGCCATTATCTAAAAGCAAAAACAGGCTATGTAAAACATCCTCACAAATGTATTTGAACACACTATATGCTCTCATTTAGAAAAAAAATGATGCCTTACAGGTTTCATGTAAAAATAGAAAGCTCTTTCCTACACAAAGTTTGTTTTAGTAGTTGAGGTTTGAATCTTGTGACTGGGAGTCTTCATGATAACCCACACAGTTATTTGAAGTTTAAAGCAAAAGTAAAACCTGCTGTATTCCATAGATTAATCTCAGAGTACTCTTCCATTTCAGCTTGTCACTTACAGTAAATTTTGTGCAACATTTCTTTTTCTCTTTACTACCTTCCATAATATGTAGCATTCTTTCATAGTTCCTCATGGCCATCCTTGTTTCTATTGTAGAGATTTAACCAACATTTGAAAATGCCATAAAGCAGAAACTCAGGCAAAACTACCAAAGATTAAAAAAAAAAAATAAAAATTATGAAAGTAAAATCCTAAGTAGGATAAATAACTAACTAACTAGGTAAATGACCAACATGAAAATCAGCTTGCTTACAGAAAAGAGAATATATTTTTTTCCCACACACTTCATGGCAGTGTTACCCTATGGACATATTAACAAAGTCCACAGGACTTTTCCCAGATTGGTTTTTGCAGTTTCCACCATGTTTCATCCCTGCAGGTCTGCCTCTACTCACCAAAGTAATCAACACGCATTTCACAGTGTGCTTGTTATCACCTTAGCATGATGGCAATCATTTGCCTCCTACTCAAGGAGAGGAGGAAATAATTAAATATTTACAGCACTAGCTTTACACTAATACAATTTTTCTTTAAGTTTTCTATAACCTTTATAATGCACTGATATTTTCCTGTAAATAAAATGTACATGTACCAGTGAACACGACTGCTGTGCCTCCCCTCCACCGAGACTCACAGCTTTACAAGTCCTTAATTGTGATTTTCAATTACCATAAGGAACTGAGAGATCAGAGAACAAATTTTCAAAGGAACAACAAGTGGTTCACTTTAAAGTTCATTACTAATGTTTGTGGCTTTTCATAAATCAAAACAAACAGGCAAGAGCAACATAGCAACTCTACTTTAGAATTTTTGATTGTCTGAATGTAAAACTGCATACTAGC